AATGATCATTGCCGAATGCTGAATTATGATCGTAGCCAATTTAAATTAATGATTGTGTGATCGTAATAGAAGGCTAAAGTTTATACCATATGAAACGTGGTGTCACGGAACGAAATTATGACTATTGTGATTGCTAACAAAGGCCTATGATGGTTAAACTCAGGAGCTAAACTATGATTGTAACTCAAGTGCTAAACTCATGATTTTGCAAGTCAAAATTTTTGAAGAAAAATTTTCCTCTTACAGACCCTAAATGATATATGTTTTGCAGAGAAAAAAAGGGTGGCAATTGGGAGCCAAAAAGAATTACTCCTCACTAAACGAGCCACTAGCATGCTAAACTTGAGGAGTGGGCTAAAATAAAGGATTATATCAGATACTTCATGGAATGTGGATGTGGAACATGGAGAAATAGAAGGAAAGTGGGACTTGGAGCCCAAGACTTAAATGCCTATAAAAGGCTAATAATCCCACCAGAAAAGGGGAGAGAAAAAGGAGGTAGGAGATCATTCTATATTTTATAAGCATTCTAAACAAATACTGACTTGGACGTCGAAGTGTTTTCTTGCAGGTCCCCCCGCTCTCATTGTTGACAAGCGAAGATGATGTCCAAGGCTTCTCAACGTGTTCAAAATTACTTATTGGTGGAGAATTGGAGTACCTGAAATTTTCTGCTCCAACAAGTACTTTATTTAAAGTGAGAGTAAATTTATTTAATATGGTAATATATTTATACTATAAGAGAATCTTTATTCAAATGACGTAAACATACTTTTTCTATAAAAAAACTCACGAAATGAACTAAAATAAAATGCACCAAATAAAATTTAACATAAACACAACCAAATATATAAAAAAACTCACTAAATAAAACACCCAAATAAAATACAATAAACACACCAAATAATAAAAACCTCAAACTAAAATAAAACACCACCAAAATAATAAAACCTATAAAATATAACACACCAAATAAAATTACATAAACACACCAAAATAAAAAAGCCCACTAATTTGAACTAAAATAAACACACCAAATAAAATTACATAAACATACCAAATAATAAAAAACATCACTAAATTAATAACTTTTTATCTTCAGCTTGTTTTCAATGCTTCTGTTTTCACTGGTACCCTATCAAGTCATTTGTCGGGCATTGTGCATGTCTGGCCCTTTGAATGCTGTTTGTATATCGTTGAATGACCCTTTCATTGTAACGTCCATTTCCTTCTTTGGGTGGCCATGTTGCACGGGTCATCGGTGGTGGCATGAGCACAATATATACATGTTCTTGAATTGTTCATCGTGTCTGACTCATATTCATCAACAGCTTCATAATCGTACTCATCTTCCACAATCATGTTGTGAAGAATGATGCACGTCATCATGATGGATCGAAGCGACTATACATCAAACAATCTAGCAGCACCCCTAATGATTGCCCAACGAGCTTGGAGGATACCGAAACAATGCTCCACATCCTTCCTACACCCCTCTTGACAGCTTGCAAAGTGTTTTTCCTTTGCACTTCGCAGACGTGGCATTGTTTTGACAAATGTTGACCACCTTGGGTAAATGCCGTCAGCTAGGTAGTATGGCCCGTTGTACATACATCCGTTGACCTCATACATGACTTTTGGTGCCTTTCCTTGCAGGACATCGTTGAACATTGGGGATTGGGCAAGGATGTTGAGGTCATTTTGAGCTTCCGGAACCTCGAAAAAGGCGTGCCAAATCCATGTATCAAAAGATGCCACCACCTCCAAAATGACACTTTTTGCTCATTTTCTGTTTCCATAAGTGTCTTGCCATGCACTTGGATAGTTTTTCCACGTCCAATGCATACAATCAATGCTCCCAATCATCCCAGGAAAACCTCGCATCTCGGCTTTCTTCAGAAGCCTTTCCAAGTCCATGTGTATGTTGCCGGAGGTACTCTGTGGTGTAGATAGATTCGATTGCTCCACAAAACCTCATTAGGGGACTGAAGAATGGTTGATTTCCCCATCCTCGCTATCTCATCCACTTGGTTTGCAGATGCTCCATACGCAAGCATCCGCAGCACAACAGTAATTTTTTGCTCGGGAAGGAGACCCATAGCACCAAAAGCATCATTCTTTTGCTCAAAGTAAGAATCATGGTTGCAAACAACAATCATGATTTTGTTGAACAAATGTCGTTCCATTCTAAAACGACGTCTGAAGTACGTATCAGGAAATGCATTGTTATGGACAAAATAATCGTCCAACAGCTCCACACCTCGTCGTTGCCTGTTTCTATCAAGGTTTCCGGAATGGGTGGGCCTGCATATGTGAGCCACAGCTTAGATGACTCGACAGGAATGTGAGTCTCTGGCCATTCTTGCTTCGTCTTCTCTCCTTCTCCGCTTCTCATCATCTTCCTTCTCATTTTAGGCTATATGGAGATTCAACATTCCTTCAGATTGGTTAAACAATTCTTCCTCTTCTTGATCGATTTCCCACATCATGCTTGAAGAAGAAGACATTGTAAGTAGAAACTATGAATAATGATACGGATTTTGATTTGGTGAAGAAGGAAGCAGAAACTATGAATAATGATAGAGATATTGAGAAAATTGGTGTGAGATTTAAAAGGATGGATGATGGATTATATGGAGGATTCTGAAATGATTAGGTTGTAGATAGTGCCATGTGGCATGTCGTCATTCGTTAAAAATCTGATTGAAATCTATCCTAAAAGATTCTGAAAAGATAACGACACGTGGCACGCTAACATTGGATAAAAATCTTATCGAAATCCATCACCAATAATTATCTTTTCGGATAATGACACGTGGCGCAACGAGAACGATTTAAAATCTGATCGAAATCTGTCCTGAAAGATTTTGAAAAGATAACAATACGTGGCACAATGACATTGGATAAAAATCTTATCGAAATCTATGATCAATAATAGTCGTTTTGGGTAAATGACACGTGGCGCAACGAGAACGATTTATAATATCTTATCCGAAATTACAAATAAATTTATTTACTATTATTTTGTAAAAAAAAAAAAAAATTAATACTATTTTATTGCCTATTGCCCGGGCTATTCAAGTGCAACGGTGGAGATGCAAAAGGCAGTTACTGTTCATTAAGGGCAATTATTGTTCACAGGGTGGATTGAATAGTGGATTGCTTGAGGGGAGGGCTCCTATGGTGGAGTTGCTCTAATGTGGTTCGTTGTAAGCCTCTGATTCAGAAAATTGCTAATTGAACAGTTAGGATTAATTTAATTCTAAAAAATAAAAAAAATCATAAAAATTTTAAAAAATTATTGAAAAATTCTAAAAACTTACAAAGTTTGCACTTTAAAAATCTTACAAAGTTCAACACACTTACAAATTAAATAATTAAAATTACTCAAAAATCTATGACGATAATAATATGTGATGATAAGTCGAAGAAAACATTAACAAAGTAAAAAAAATACATATTTGTGAATAGTACTTGGCCATGCCCTTACTCGTTCCAAACGGATAGAGTTGCACAAAGGTAATGACTGTTTAGAGTGAATGTGAGGGCAATTTCATTGTTCTTGCCCTCCAATTGCCATTGTCCTCCATCAATGGGTGGAGATGCTAGCTTTTACCACCATCGTCACCGCTATTGTTGCTACTAGCCCTACTACCATGTCTATTTTTATTAATATATATACATGATTATATTATTTTTTTAAGTACAACAATATATTTTACACTAGGGGGAGGTGGGAGAACGTCTAAGCCACACAATGGGCAACCTAATTTGATATCAAATTCCCCATCCATGAGATTCAAACGTAAGATCTCTTACTTACAAGTAAAGAGGAATATTACCAGACCGTATTATTGAATGGCTATACATGACAATATTACTTTATACTGCTTTTTATACTCACAACATTTTAAATATATATATTTTATCAAATGCTCAGTTACTTTATTTTATAGTTAATTTTTCTTAAAGCATAGCATAAGCTTTTTCTTTTTAAATCACATCAATCTTAAATTAGCTCTTAAAGCAATGTTTCTTTGCAACATCATCATAGGGTAGTGCGGTCTTTTTCTTGTGGTACTTATATAATAGTTCTATGTTTAACAAGGTTTAAGTCCCCACGACTATCATATTTCATGTTGGTTGGGTGTGCCTACTTTGTGGATGAAGAACTGTATTATATCCGTGATAAGTTTATAAAACTGAAATTGTGTTGTTTCTTTCAATGTGTGTGGCTATTTGATTTGTGCACTAATAATAAAATTTATAATGAGAACTATCCCCACAGTAATTTTTTTATTTTATTTTATTTTATTTCAAATATAGAAAGTTTGGGTGTACATTTGAGTTTTGAAGTGCTAATAACAATTTCTTTTATTGTATTTAATAGAGTTATTGGGCTTAAGTGATGATTTGGATTTTGAAGTGCCAATAACAATTTCTTCAGTCACCAATGTTAGTGATGGCGTTGCCAGTGATGAAGTTATTGGTTTTAAGTGATGATGTAAACAAACCGGAATATGGTTTTCATCAATTGTCATCTTTGAGCTCTGAATTCCTAAATCGGCATCTTTTAGCCTAACTTGCATGGCTAAAAATATTCTATTTAAGGATATTCAAAGCTCCATAAATAACTCGGGAGTTAAAACTCCCTTCAAGACGCCAAGTAATAATTTGGAATATTTTAATTAATTAATAAAAGTATAAGTTTGTAATTATAAGAAACGGATTAGGATTAAGTTAATCGGCTAGAAAGTTTAGAAATATTTATAGGAAAATGACTAAGATTTAATGGGGTAGAGTCAGATAAAAATAGGTAATTATCTGTAGTATATCCGTGTCCATATTTTTAGCCTGCATTTTAGAGATTACCACCCATTCACATCTCTTAATAGGAATCCTCTTAATAATCTTATGCTTCGCAAACAAGTCACTGGTTCTTACCATTATAAATACTAGTTACCTTATTCACAACAAGGCATACCAAAATTCAGATAGCTTGCCACATTCTCTTGAAGATTGCTTAACAATATTCTAGGGTTTGCCATCACTTTCCTTCCCTCTAGGGTTTTCCATATTCTCTCCAAGATTGCTTAACAATATTCTAGGGTTTTACATTAGTTTTCCATCTAGCAGGGTTTGCCATCACTTTCCTTCTCTCTAGGGTTTGCCATTAATTTCCCTTCCCCCTCTAGGTTTGCCATTGATATCACAAGTACTCTAACAATTAATGGCTAAGAGTCCTGATAATAGGATCACAAACAAAGATGCTGAGAATGGGAAAAAGGAGGGCAAAAGTCGAAGAAGGGTTGAAATAAAGAAAGTTGAAGACAAGAACAAGCGTCACGTGACCTTCTCCAAGCGCAAAAGGGGTCTCTTCAACAAAACAGCAGAGCTCAGCGTTTTGACCGGTGCTGAGACGGCAGCAATCGTTGTGTCAAACAGTGGCAAGGTGTTCTGCTTCGGAAGTCCCTCCCCTGACGCTGTTATCGAACGCTACGTTGGTCACAATGCCTCATTATCTGCAGGTCAACCAGATAATTATCATCCTCAAATAAACAACACTCATCGTTCTACTAATTATTTCAATGTTAATATGAGTAGTAGTAAGAAGCAAATACAAGATTATGAGAAAGCTTCGAGACACTTGAAGGAAGAGAAAATATTGAAGGGTGGGAAGAAAAGTAATAGTAACAACAATGGAGGAGATGAAGGAGGTTGTTCTTATGGGTGGTGGGAGAGACCGATTGGAATGATGAGTAGTTTGGAGGAGTTAGAAGAGTACAGGGAAGCCTTGTACAAGTTGAAGCACAATGTGGAGGTTCGAACCAATCAGCTGATTCGGGAAACTACTCCTTCCGATCACTTCTCCTCTCTTTTGTCTATGGATGATACATGGAGTCCTCCAAAATTAAGCCAGGGTCAAGGGTGCATGGGACGTGAATTTTATTATTTCTTGTGATACCAATGTTAAGAAGTGCTTGTGTCAGAATGTACTTCTCTAGTAGTCATGGCTTTTGGTGGAGGGTTTTAGTTGATTAGGGATCATGACCGAACAGGTTACACACACACATTAATCAAAAGTTTCATCAAATGTACTCATAGTTGTTTTGTTCATTTATCTTTAATTTTTAAGTTAAATAAATGTAGGTATTTAGTTTCTCAATCTTTTATGAATACTTAATGATCTCACTTTTAGGGCTAGCCTTGAGGGTGCACAGGTATGTGTGAGTTTCATCTATTAGTTTTTATGACAAGTTTCATCATGTTCTATTAGGTTTTAGTTGATTAGGGTTTATGATGAGTTTCATCATTCTTTATAAATATCATATCATGCGTTGTTAAAATCATATCATTTATCATGCGTAAAAAATCATGTGGTAATGCATACTTTGACACATCAAATTGTACAACAATGTGATTTAAAAAATGTGGTCTACCTAATATTTTTCTTAAATTAAGTGACCAATTTTTTCTTCATGGACAATTCTACAAGAGGAAGCTTATTCTTACCTACAACCCATGTACACGTACAACTGATCTATTGCATACTACATTTAGTACTGGGGCCCTTTTCTTGCATATTAACTAACATTACATTCTTTACCAAGTTATTTGCATATGGTTAATTATTAATTATATAAATTTAAGTTAATATTTGTCTTAAGGAAAATTTAAGAAAAAAAAACTTGATTGACTCAAATTGACCAAAAACTCAATTATCATATGCTTTTGCAAGTAGCACATTAAAATTTCAACAAATCTCTAATAAAAGTAGTTCTATAAAAAATATTATGTGCAAAAGTGCTTTTTAGAGAAGCAATCTCAAATCCCATCAAAATAAAAAAGAGAAGCAATTTCTAATGGGATAATACTTGGGTACTCACTGGGAGTACCCAAATTACTGACTAAATTACATGGACCAATACAAATTTAACATGTTTAATTACAAAAAAAAAAAAGAAAAAGGAACCTGACCTAGTTCATGCTTTGAAGCTTAAACGTTAAAGCCATGTTCTGTAGAACTCTAAGCGTCTCTCTTCCTCTCCTTCTCGCTCAGACCGCCATCACCTAGAGCATTGACAGCGAACTCCGAGCAATACCGGTGAACTCCACGCTTAGACCACCATCCATTATCTGCTGTATTCTTTGATGGTATGTTTTCAGTCTTTGTATATAATATGAATTTGCATTTAAAATTTTGGGTTGATTTTATGTTTGAAAAGGTTTGCGGATTTTGGTCTGAAAGGGGAACGAAATGACAACAGGGAAGGGGTTGTTATTTTTGAAAAAGTTTGAGTGGGCTCTGTTTGTCTCATATGGAGATGCAGCAGAATAAAAGCAAAGAACTATAAGATTAGAAAGCGAGTCATTATCTAATGATGAAGATGATTTACACGGTGCAAATCCTTCACCTATTTGTCAATCTCAAAGTCATCATGGCTTGAGAAGGTTCCAAAGAATAGGTGAAGGATTTGCACCTTGTAAGTCATCTTCGTCATTAGATAATGACTTGCTATCTAATCTTGTAGTTTCTTTGTTCAGCATACCCTGCAACATAATATCAATATAGAGACATGAAATATGCTATCCATTATTTCTTTGCTTTTATTATGATGCATCGCAATATGAGACAAACAGAGCCTACTCAAACTTTTTCAAAAGTAACAACCCCTTTCCTGTTGTCATTTCGTTCCCCTTTCTTTCAGACCACAATCCACAAACATTTTCAAAGATAACAACCACCCAAAATTTTGAACGCAAACTGATATTATATACAAAGACTGAAAACATACCATCAAAGAATACAACAGAGAAGGACGGTGGTACGAGCGGAGTTCACCAGTGTTGCTCAGAGTTCGCTGGTGTTGCTTTAGGTGATGGTGGTCTGAGCGAGAAGGAGAGGAAGAGGGAGAGGTAGTCTGAGCAAGAGGTAGTATGCGTGTGAGGAAGGGAGACATTTGGAGTACTACAGAACACGCCGTTAACCTCTAAGACCATCTCCAACCGAATGGTCCAGAGGGCCAGAGGGCTAGTTGACAGACTTGAAGTCTTGGAAGCACAGATGCTGCCGGTCATGTCTTGCTTTAGGCAGGAATATGTCATTTTGGTGATCAAGATGATCAGCCAAAGCGACCCATAGTGCACGTGGATCCTCCTCAGCAAGATACTCAGTTTGCAAAGCGTCATGGATATATCTTCGGATGAAGATCATAGCAGTGACTTTTTTAGCTTCGCCAATAGGGTTGTCTATCTCTTCTTCAATGGTGGGACGCAAGTTCTTTGCAGTGAGGTGGAGCTTCACATCTTGAACCCACTTGAGGTTGTTCCTTCCAGAGGCCTCCTAAGCGGTGAAGTTGAGTTTGCTCAAATTCGACATGTTCCTATCACAAAATAGATGGACAAGATGTGGTTAGTGTAATGGAGAAAAAATCAATCTATTCACATAGGAGTAGAACATACAAGTTCTAATAGACATGTATTGGTTTAATTTTGCATGAAAAAACTTCGAGTAGCGGACGAGTTGGCTTGTAAGGCAAGGGAAATAGCCTTTGATGCGAAACTCATTGGGCGTGGAGGGGTTATCACGCTGGGGATGGTAAATGTTTAGTTATTTGATTTTATTGAACCTGAGGGGAGAAAGGTCAGGGACGAAGAGAGGAGTAGGCAGGGGTTACAGGTGGATTTAAACACTCCAGTTAGTATGGAGGACGAAACCCGCCCGAGTGCTGAGCAGCAGAGTTGAATATAGGGGGCAACAGGTGGGGGACGAGGTTGAGGAGGTTATGATGGCGAATGTACAAGTTGGCACTCAGGACTTGGACCCTTTTGATTTGGGTCCCATTGTGGTTGCAGTGAGTAGGGAGAGTAGGAGACGGAAAAGCGGGATCATAGAAGTGGAGGAAGATGTGGAAGTGTAGGGCAGGGAAGAGTGTAGTGTCCGTAATAAGCAAGCTCTTATTTTTTCTAAGGTGGAGGAGACCAACTGTGAGGGGTCTCCACGGGCCCCATGAAAACATTATGTTGGAACTGTCAAGGAATTGGGGGTTCCTTGACAGTTGATGCCTTGGTGGAGCAAGTATGGCTTCACAACCCCAAGGTAGTAATCTTACTTGAGACTAAAAACAAAAGTGATCGCTATAAGTATTTAATTAAGTTGTTACGGATGGATTTTATGCAACCTGATTGAACCAAAGGGTATTGGTGGAGGTTTATGTGTGTTTTGGAAAGATGAGGTGTTTATTTCTAGCATTGTTTGGAATCGTTTTTTCATAGAATTGGGTTGTGGAGGGGATCCAATCTATTCGGATTGGAGGATATTGGCTATCTATGCAAGTACGGATGAGAAACGGAGAAGAGCTCAATGGAATGAGCTTAGCAAGAGGATTAGTCGCTCGATTGGGAAATGTACTGTGATTGGAGATTTTAATGATATTGTGGATGATGAAGAGAAAGAAGGAGGTAATTACCGTTCTATGACAAGTACGAGGGACTATAGGGATTTTTTGGCAGAAAATGGGCTTCTTGACTTGGGTTTTGAAGGTTACCCTTTTACATGGAGGAATAAACGTGATCATGGTTTGATTCAACAAAGGCTTGATAGTGTTGCGACTTCGAAATGGATGGATTTGTTTCCTAGGGCAAAGATTAATCATGTGACATTGGAGGGCTCAAATCATTCTATGTTAGTTCTTTCTTCCGACGGAACTATTACTAAGGGGCCGCAACGATTTTTCTACGACTCTAGATGTGGGAATATGCCGGAGTGTTGTGATATCATTGCAGAAGCTTGGAGGGAACAGGTGGATGGCTCATTGGCTTTTAAAGTGAGTGAGAAATTGAAGGGTACCAGAAAAAGGCTTTGTTTATGGAAAAAGGCTATGAAACCGAATTCCAAATGGTGCATTGCTGAACTTAGGGAAGAGATCAGGAAGGGGATTATGGACCCTACTGTTCGGCAAGAGCAGATAAAGGCTAAGGAAAATGAGCTTTTGACGGCTATTAAAGAGGAAGAACCTTACTGGAAGGTGAAATCAAGAAATACATGGCTCCAAGAAGGTGACAAAAGTACTAAATTCTTTCATGCTCAAACAATACAACAAAGGAGGAATAATCGATTACATGGGTTGGAAGATAATACCGGTGTATGGTAGAAGACTCCGTCGAGTATGCAGGAAATAGCAGTTCATTATTTTACTGCTTTATTTCAGTCAGGAGGCTTACGGCAGGGAGGGGCAGTGATAGGTGCATTATTTATCATATTTTCATATAAATTATGCCTAAGTTTTGTTAAGGAATTGATTATAACAGAGCCTTATTACTTTCCTTTTCTCAGTTTCAGCCATTCTGCACACTTTGGACGTTTTTGGTGATAATTCGACTTTCCAGAGGAGTTTTGATGCAAGGAAAATTGGAGAAGGAAGCTAAGAGGCTGAAGATCATTGTATCCAAATTTCATAATTTTCCATGAAGCCATTCATTCCAGATTCACAAATCAATCCTGCAGAAGTTGTTTTCCCGTCAGAACTGCGCAGCTGTGGGAGAATGAAGATTTGAAGGCTTTCCCGATTTTTCCTAGTGGCGTGCGATATATGCCTGGAAAGATAAGAGATAAAGCTATGTTTCCCATATTTTTACAGATTTTCCCAGAAGATAAATCGACCCCAAAACTGGCGTGCAAGACAGATTCCGTGTTTCCCAAGTCAAGAAGGATTCTTTCCTAGTTTGTGTCATTAATTGTTTAGGAGTTTATTTTATTTTAGGAGACTTTCTCCCAGACTTTTTAGGGTTTTTCTAGTATAAATAAGGTCCCTAATCTCTCTCTAAGGATCCATCCATCCATCCACCCCACATTCCCATATCACCCACACCATCCTACCGTTCACCATCTCCGCAATTTGTGAAGAAGAGCATAGGGATGTGCTTTGCCATGGATTCCGGGTTCTATCTTTCTTTTATTTTTATTTCTATGTGTAACTAAGTTATTTTCTAAGGTTTATGATGAAGCCATGACATGAATATTTGTAATGTACTTTGTTAATTATTATCCGATTATATGCCATGTTATATTCTTAATCTTTGTGGGTATTTTATTTTA